AATTTCACCTTTCTTTTTCAGGCTGAGGGCTACGTGATCGGCTCCTGCATTAAGCACATCCCCATTGCCGGCCGCAACATCACTTCGTTCATCCAGAGCCTGCTGCGCGAACGAGAGGTTGGCATTCCGCCGGAACAGAGCCTCGAGACTGCCAAAGCGATCAAGGAGAAGCACTGCTACATCTGTCCGGATATCGCCAAAGAGTTTGCCAAGTACGACACGGAGCCGGGCAAGTGGATACGCAACTTCACGGGCGTCAACACGGTGACCAAGGCGCCGTTCAACGTGGACGTGGGCTACGAGCGCTTCCTGGGGCCCGAGATCTTCTTCCATCCGGAGTTCTCCAACCCCGACTTCACCATTCCGCTGTCGGAAATAGTGGACAATGTCATCCAGAACTGCCCCATTGATGTGCGGCGTCCGCTGTACAATAATATTGTTCTGAGTGGTGGATCCACGATGTTCAAGGACTTTGGCAGGAGGTTGCAGCGAGATATCAAACGATCGGTGGACACGCGCCTACGGATCAGCGAGAATTTGTCCGAGGGACGCATTAAGGTGGGTGATATCACAGCAGCTAATGAGTCATACAACTAAGACCACGATTATCGTTACAGCCAAAACCAATTGATGTTCAGGTGATTACGCATCACATGCAGCGGTATGCCGTGTGGTTTGGAGGCAGCATGTTGGCCTCAACGGTGAGTTGTAGTATCCTAATATCTGGGATATCATAATAATCTATATCTTGTATATCCAGCCCGAGTTCTATCAGGTGTGTCACACGAAGGCTGCCTACGAGGAGTATGGCCCTAGCATTTGTCGTCACAATCCCGTCTTCGGCACCATGACATAATTGATCCGATCCAATCGGCCCGCAGCAATTATTATTGATTTATTTTTCTATTTTAAATTTGAATTTGTTCTCCAACTATATATATTGCGATTATGTATTCCACGCTAAAGTATTAGTAATGATCATTTTCTACCTATGTGTTTAGCTCTTAAATCTGTGTAAATCACTATCGTTCTCTTTAATTTCGTGTGATTCTGTTAGGCTAACTTTAAAGCAACAACTCCGATGTCTGCCAGTTAAACCCTCCTAATTAAGGTGCATTATTTCTAGAAGTCGACTTTTATAGCATACTCGAACACGATCACACACAGTCACATCAAACTAAGCTCTTGAAAATCCCAGCTCTATACACAATTATATACGAAAAAGATCTACTTGTCATAGAAATATTTATAATTGCAATAACTGCAAGGAAGGTTTATAGAGGGACAAAAATGGAAACCGCAGAAAACTGAATGAACAAAAAAGGAAAAACGATAAGAAATATTGATGAGAAATCTGTTTGTTATATTGATAAGCGTAATTGAAAAGGCATTAAATAAATCAATAAAACATTCTTTAAGCTCAAAACTGTCACCGCTTTTTTGATCTAAAGCTTGTACTGGAAAATTTTATTCAATGCGTAAGTTTATATGTTTTGTATGGTCTTCAAATTGCTCTAATATATATTAAATGTTATATATTTCCATTTTGTGACGGTGTCGCTTAGCTGAGGGATTAGCAAAAGGTGGTTTTCAAAAAACAAGTTCCGAGCCACAAGTCCGACAAACTTTGATACGTTTCACATAATTGACAAATTGACTAGTCAACGTAGTCACTGGAGCCCTCCTCCTCGTCGTTGCTGCTCGTTGACTGCGCCGCCGCCGTTTCCGGTGAACGCAAGTGCTCCGCAATCCGGAAGTTCTGCAGGAAGTCCCGCATTGCGTCCATCATCAGGTTTAACGACTGCTGGAGTCCAGCTTCTGCAATATTTTTGATATCCGGATTTGAAACGATTGGCAAACGATTAAAGTAACAACAATCGAAATAAAATTATTTGAAATGGCAGATTGTAATAATTTAAATTTAGAGAAATAACATGAATGAAATAATGCCAAAAAATAAACTTATTTTCATATTTTATGATTCGTTTTCTGTGACGATACAGGCCGTAACAATGATGCTTTATCTCATATTATTAAAAATGAGTACTCATACAAACCTTCCGCTTGGATGGCTCCAACTACTCCGGCAGCTCCTGCTTCAACGCCCCCTTCAAAGTTGGCTACAGGTGGAGCTGGAGCTGGTGCTGCTCCAGCTTCCTGGGGCTGAGCGTTTGCCGCCAGGTTGTTAATGTTAAAAGAAGGCAAAAGCGATTGGAAAAACATTGATACGGAATTGTTTGTGTTCGTTGTGGGACTGCTGCTTGAAGAAGATTTTCTGCAAAAAGTTGGTCATGATTATTTTCGTCTTTTCAGATAAAAGCTATAGCTAAACAGTATATTCCCCCAAACTAAAGGATTTTTTTTAATTAAGAGTTAATTGACATACCGCTGATAGCAGTTGACGCTGTTCGGTGGCGGCAGTGGGTCGTAGGTCATAATGGCTTGCTTCTCCTTGGACACGAAAACGGCCAACGGCACCTTTTCCTTGTAATCGGAGAGTATGACATGCCGCAGGATGGGCCTCGGAGGAGTTCCACTATACCGCAGTGCTCGCTTCTCCTTGTACTCATTGACAAGCGGATCCTTAGTCTCGATGCGGTCCAGCACAACGTTCACGTTGGACTCCAGCCAGGGTAGCACCTCGTTCTGACGCCAAACGACTCGTGCTCGGCACACATACAGGCACACCAGCTGGTGCAGGGCGGGCGATTGACTGGTGAACAAGATAAGGAATTAAATTCCGCTAATCATTGAAGGAGATAAGACTCCACTCACTTGCCCGACACATCCGCAAAGAAGTACGATGAGGCCAGCACCCTCTTGTCCGTCTGCACTGACATCTCGTCAAGGAGGGGACGCAGCACACCCGGGAACATGAGCAGTGCGTATTGCAGTGCCTGGTTGGAGCGCTCACAGGCACCATGGAGCGTGTGCAGAGCCAGAGCATACGAGTAGGCCATGTTGGGCAGCTGATTGAGGTTTCTGGCGGCGTTATATTCCTCGTAGAACTCCACTAGCCAGCCAAACTGCTTGCTGCGCAGAGCATAGTAGTCGATGACCAGGATCATGGCAAGCGGATCCGTGTCCGGCTGCAGACTCAGCAGCAGTTTGGAGATCTCAAAGGCGGTGCGGCTGCAGGCGCGCTCCTCCAGGTACTGGGCGTGCTTGAACAGCACGATGTAGAAGGATCGATTTTCCTGGCGACGATAGTCCAGTCGGCAGTTGCCCGACGTCAGGCTGAAGTTAATATGCAGCGACGATTCCAGTAGGAGTAGGGCGCGTTCCAAAAGCTCTGAGGCCAGGGCAAAATCCTCGGTCATCTTGCACACCTCGCTCAGCTGGACCAAGGAATCCACGTGGTAAGGGCAACGTTTGATCAGTGTAATCAGAAATTCCGAGTCAATGCGCTCCAGGGCGGACAGAAACATGTGCTGCACTCCCTGGTAGTATTGACTATGTTCAAAGGCAAACCACTGGACTTCCTGCCCGCTGTCAGTGATGGATTTGGAGGACACCGATGGCGAGTCGGGGGCGGGCAGCAGCTTCATGGTGATGGTATTCTTGGTCAGTGCCGGCCACGATTCCTTGGCGGTCACCATGTAGGTGGACTTTAAGGTGGGCTTCTGCCGGCCACGCTTAGTTCTAAAAATATGTTTGATTAGAAAGAGAACTAGGGCAACTTAGGGCCCGAAACTTACTCGACTTTGACCACCCGCTTGCCAAAGGTGCGTCGCATTTCGTTCTGCGGATTCAGGTGTCTCAGCTCCACGGCCAGCAGTTTCTTGGTGGCGGAGCTCCCAGCGGCCGCCGATGCCACCTGCTTCGCCGACTGCCTGGGCACCGCATCGTAGACCTTGCCAAGCAGCGGATCCACCTTCTCGAAGTACTTGTCCTGGCGCTCGTTGTCCTCGCTGCTGATGTGATTGCCACTGGACTTGGCCTTCTTCTTGCGCTTCTTTTTCTTCTTCTTGGCCGCAGAGGCACTGGCATTGGGCAGAGCAGCCGAGGGGTGCTCCGTTTCGTTGTCGTCCTCCTTGAACTCACTCTCCGAGAGACTCAGACCGGGTTGATTGAGCTGGGGCAGGGGGGATTACGTGGTTGGATCAGTGATGAGCTGGCTGGCCATGGTGATTAGTAACTCACCAAATCGAATGGGTTGAGGTGCGCCTTGCGGTCGCGTCGCATATCGCTGTCCTCCAGTTCATCATTGTCGGTCAGCTCCTCGCAATCCTCGTCGTCGGGCGGCGGTGCCAACTTGTCAGCGTCGCCCTGCAGCTTCTTCAGCATCCGTGCAGACATCCTTTGGGTGTCCTTATATCCTTAAGCCGGAAATCTATTTATTTTCGTCGTAGAATACGTGTGTATTTCGCTGTTTTTTTTTCTGCACTGCTGCAGGGCTGCAAGCTCTCCGGGGTGCCCATGCGCTTCACAACACTGGCCACGTCACGTCTTGGCGGGAATTAAAAAAGCTATTTTAAATTTTAGTAGGCAGTACCTACAGGTACTTTGTAGGATTTTAACTTAATCAATCTGTAGGAAGCGTAAAATCAGTTTTTTCGGATAAAGTTGAAATGATTTTGACGTAAAAACCACAGAAATTTTGAATACATTGAATTTGTTGACGCAATTTTTGCTTAAAAATAACAAAACTTGAATAAAACGTATTAAAAGTTGTATATTCATTAAGAATAATTAATTTTGTCCTAATGTATTTGTACTACTCTTATTGTTTTCTGTCATTAAAATAATAAATGAAGTAGGTACCTTCAATATTTATCTGATTATTTTCGGTTTAGGAATGTCATGCTTTTGGTTTTGATTTATGTGACACCTAGAACTTATAGACTTGTATCGTCAGAATACCAACTAAATATAACTAAATTTTAAACCAATCCTTAAAGAAAACTTCTGTAAGAAAAATCCAATTCGGAAAAAAAGTAGGCAATCTTAAATTGTAATTTGTTTTAATTGACAACAAATTTTAATACAATTTTTGTCCAGTTCGCTGGCGTGGTCCTAAAAATTGCCATGATGAATTGTTTACAAATAATTCTTGCCATAGAAGGCGCCTACGAAGGCGGCCAGGATGGTGAATAAAAAGGCGGCCACGTAGAAGAAAGTGCTGCGTCCTTGGCGACCACGTTGCATCACTTGCTGGCCAGGATCGGGACCAATCGTCTGGTCACGCAAAGTGTCGACCTCCTCCTTGAGGGCCAGACGCTCGTCCTCCAGCATGCTGACCTGCTTGAGCAACTTGGCCACCGGCTCGCTGACCTCCTGGGCATCAAAATGGTCCTCGCCCTCCTTGTTGTCCACAGAGGATCTAGCCGAACCTCCCGCCTGGCGGAACTGGTCCTCCTTCGAAAGGACCAGCTCGCATCTGATCTTGGTTTCCCAGATGTCCTCCGGCTTCTGTTGCTTCCAGAACTCCTGCATGTCGCTCATTTCGCCAGTTGCCTCGGCCGCCAAGATAAGGAACTTGTGGCGCTTCTGTACCGGCTCCTGGAGAATTGGCTGCATGAAGATGTCGACGTTGACCTTCTCCCCGGGCTTCAGAACTCCAATGTTGGGGCGCACGAAAAAGAGCTTCGGGGTGGTGGTCTTCATCTTGAAGGCCATCCTCTGGGTCTTGCTGGGATTCCCGATGACCAGCTTTTTGTTGACGGAACGGTTGAAAGGTCCCTCAAAGAGGATACCGTCGCAGGGCTCCAGGGACAGTTTGGTTTCCTTCTTATCAGACATCTTGGAATATTTATTCTTTTTTAAAATTCGAAAGCGTTGTGAATGTTGCCCGAAATGTGGAAAAAGACTCCCAACTGAACAGTCCCACAAGACACACGTTTGAAGAAAAAAGGATCGACTACTTTGACCTATTACTTTTACAGGGCTGATGTGAAACTTTCAATATTCGATAACAGACTGATTTAATTCATTTTAAGCGTGGACACACTGGTCTTTTTTAGAAGACCATTTGGCAGTAGTACTTTTTTTCGAGTCAAATCCGCGGCTTATGGAATTTTAAATTATTACTTTTACATTGGTACTTAGCTTATTTTTTTATTTGCAGATATACGGGATACTTAGAGTTCTGAACTGGACTGATATTACTTTAGTTGTTGTTTAACCATTTAAAGGGATATTTTTGTATTGTGCATTTTAAAGCTTTCCCCAGTGACCAACATGTTTAATTTTTTTTTATTCGTTCGTTTTTATTGTGAATTTTTTCGTATTTTTTTATTTACAAAAATTCGATGAGTTTGTGGGGTTGAGTGTGGGTAAAGTGGATGGTTCCACTACCAAAATATCATGCGCCCGGCATTGGGGGAGGTGGCCTTGGACAGAATGATGCCCGACAGTTCCTCGTCCTCCAGTTCGTTGCTATTTCGATTGGGAGGAGGGATGGGAAAAATTTACATTAAATAAATGTATGACAGGACTCTTTTGATTTAAGCAATTATTTACACGTTTATTGGTATCGCTATTCGTATTGTTTAATTGGTGTTTTTTTTTCTTTGCAATAAATAACAATGAGTTGTCGAGACAGCGGATGCTCAGTGGGCATCGATATTGATCACGGTGCGATGATGGGTATTATTTTCGAATTCGATTCGATTTGGAGGGTGGATGCTTTTGTGGGCGGGTGCAGTACAACAGGCACAACGATAACAACAGTTACAACGGATTGCGGTAGCCAATTTCGCTTTTATGGTCTATATATTAAGGTCCAGGCGGATAAAGAAAAATAGAAGAGAGAGGGAAGAAAAGAAAGTGATTATATATATACTGAATAAAACATATCGAATTCCATTAGCGGCACAAACACAAATTCAAATACGGAACGAAATAAAAACATAGCACAAACGTAAAAATCGGGATGTAGACATGCGATTGATGATGTTGTATGGACTGGTAAAGCAGGGGTAGGGACTATAAAGGGCCAATAATACACATTTCATTTTAATTAAGTCACATTTTATTTATGTTGTTGTTCTTTTTCGTTTTTCTTTTTAACTTTAGGCACTATTTAAATATTAAATATATATTGCAAAAATCAATAAAAATATGCCTTAAAAACTCCTGCGCTAAAAATAAGGTTTTGTACAGCATGTTTTGTTGTAAAAATTTTGCATAAGTAAATTTCGGGTATACGTAGTTTAAATATCACTTAAATATTTTCGTTTTAAGCCACATGGGTTAATTTCAAATTTTGCAATTTCTAATTTACGTTTTGCGGACGGTTACAAGAACAAATTGCATACGCGAGAAATGTACAAATTTTTAAACATATTAATTATAAATAGCATATTAAATATAGGGTGTTTTTGTTTTCGATTTCCAATGTATTTTTGTTTCTTCTAATGTTTAAAATTAGTTGGTTTTTGTTTTCTGTTCTATAATAAGGTTTATGCAGTCGTTAATTGTGTGTTTTCTTCCATAAATTAGTGTTTGCAGTTTAAATTCGCTTACTCATTTTTCAATAAAAAAATTAATTATCAAAATCAACAACTAATCACAAGGCAAATAGAGTTTGTAGAGAGAGAAAGTGGAGGGAGGGGTGTTTCAAAAGATTTTTTTTTTTAATTTGGGCAACGCAGGCGAGTTAAGTGGATGCTTAGCGTAACGAGCTGAGTCAACGAGTGTCGAGAAAAAATAGCGAGCGAGTACCAACACCAGAGAAAGAGAAGTAGAGAGTCAGCGAGTGGAGGTATAAAGAGGTAGAGGGGTTGTGAGGGGTTCCCAGAAGGTCTGGGGATGGATAACTGAGTGATTTGATGAGATTCTTTTTAGATGGCACAAATGCAGCGAGTGGCGAGTAACGGGTTAACAGGCACTTAGTAGGCGAGTGGCGAGTAACTATGACCAGCTTTTCACGATCTGATTTCTTTCAAGTCCAGATCTCATAAGTTAAAGATACAAGAAATAATAAAATAATACAAGAAATTGGTTCCTCAAAGTATTATAAGAAAGAGAATATAAAACATATAGAAAAAGAACCCTTTAGAAATCAGTTCGTGAAAAGATGGCTCAAATTTGCATGGAGCAGATAGCGAGTGACGAGCGACGAGGGGGGACATTGCCCTCCTCGTCCCTTCGCCTTCTCGTTATGGCTTACTTTTTCATCAGCGAGCGGACCTTCTTCATCGTTCGATTGAAGATCGTCTTGTTGTTGCCCCCGGCACTGTAGTTGGAGCCCAGTGACGAGTTGGAGGTCTTGTTGCTGGTCATACTGGCTCCGCGATGGACCGAGGCCGATGCCCTCTGTTGATTGCCATGTCGCAGACACCCATCCGTCTGATCTTCACGCTCGCTTTCCGTCGCACTCACGCCATCGGGACTCTGGCGTTCCCTAACCCTTTCACTCTCCCTCGCGGGTTGTGGTTGTCTTTCGGGTGTGGGCGATTTCGAGGAGGAGCTGGTGTCCCTTCGCTGCGGCTGAGGGGTCATTGGAATGGCCAGATTCTGCATGCTCTGCGTTCCATCCGCCGGATCGCTACTCGGTGGCAGCAGTTCGGCAAGCGTCTGTTTGCTAAGGATGTGGTCCAGACTTCGGGACTTCCGGTGCTGCTGGACATTCCCCGGTGGTGATAGGGTGTGCTTATCCCGCCGGGTCACCGAATCACCCAAGGGAACTTCCGCCTCCTCTTCTTCGGGTTGCAGAGTGCTGGTGGAACTGGCATTCGTTAGGGCTGTACTCCCAGCTGTTACCTTGGCCGCCGCCGCTGCTATCCTTTGGTCAGGCGTAGAGCCCGCCTGGTCGAGCAACCCGTCCACGCTGTGCGATCGATAGCCACTGCCCATGCCGGAACCAGATCCATGACCCAATCCCGCCGCCGAACTTCGACGCGGTGGAAGATACGCCAACGGCGTCATATTCTGCATGGACGCGGAACCCGCTCCCGATTTGTGGAGCAGGGCCGCCTGCTGGGTGCGATAGGGGGTCAGGATCTGGGAGCGTTTCGAGGGCGCCCGGGAGTAACCACTTAGCTGCGAGGTGCTGCCCCTTTGGCGGGCTGGTGAGGGGGATTGGCGGTACCTATTTGCCTGGTGATTAGCTGGCGTTTCAAGCGATTTCGAGTGTGTTGCAATCAGAATTAAATCAATTATTAATTGGTAAAGAGTATAGAGTAATGGGTAGTGGGGTAGTAAATGGGTGTTTCGGTGGGTGAGTGATTGAAACAGTGGTATGGGGCATATAGATAGAGAGTAAAAGGGGGAGGGTAAGTTGTACTAGAGAGTGTGACCTTGAGGATCTCTGCTTAAGCCTATAAACATATTCGAGTTGGCTAGCTCTGTAAATCTTTAGCTTAACCTGACTTCACTCTACGCCGGAGCCGCTGGTGGACTCTGGCTAGAGCTTGAGCCGGGACTTGAGTTGGAGTTGGGAGTAGAAGTAGTAGTAGTTGTAGTACTCGTTGGCCCACCTTGTCCGCTGCCATTGGCCGCCGCCATCAGGCCATCCACCACACTGCCCGCGCCGCCGACGCCACCACCTCCTCCTCCAGTTCCTGCTCCCGATCCACTGCCTGCTCCTCCGCTCTGGTAGTCGGAGTCGTTGCTGTGCATTCTTTGGTATGAGACCGAACCGGGGGTGCCGGGCACCATCGCCGCAATGCGATCGATATTCTTTTCGCCGCGCAAAAATCTGCCGCATCAGAAGAATGGGAATCGTTTAAGTGTTTAGTTTTTTTTTGTTTTGGTTTTTCTGGGTTATTCGGGCTTATGGTAATCGGTAAATGGAGTTATCCATGGTCCTAGTCCCAAGCTAATCCAGATCTAAATGCGTCGCTTAATGTACCTTTCGAGCTTATCGATGCATGCATCCTGGTAGTCGTGGATCCAACTAACCCCATTGAAGTGCGCCACACTGCGCATGTCCTCCGGCAGTCGTTCCACCTCGGGCCAATCGAAGTGCTGATCCATGATGGGTATGATGTTGCAGTTGGAGTTCAGGGCAGCCACGATTTCCTGAGGAGTCCCCATTATGAGTATCTCTTGGTGGTAAGGTGGTAATCTGCATATAAGATACTCACTCGATGCACCCAATCCTTGCAGTCCTCGTCGTTGATACAGCGATGCAGGGCATCGGGTGTTAATACTAAGACAAAGTTCTTTGCCTGCCGAATACTGTTCAATAGGCCGTTATCGAATTTTCCCGCCTCCAGACGCTCCACGTCGATGAACACGGAGAAGCCACGCAGCTGCAGGTGAACCTATAAAAGATGATATCATATAAGTAAAACATATCTTTTATCAACCATCAAGTAAACGCACCTTGAGCAGACTGGCCAGTTGGGAGCCGTTGGACCGTCGGTAGCTAACAAAGACATCCAGTGTCTTGGCCATATTCTCCTCCGACGAGCTGGGCAGCGAGTTCTCCAGGTTCTTCACAGCATTGAGGATCCTCAGACGATGAATCGAATTGTGGATGCCACACTCCGTCATCAGCATATCCTCATTAACATGTGGCAAGGCACACTTATCGATCCCGGCATTCAGCATGGCATACGTGTAGGTGCAGTAATCAGTGCCGATCTCCGAGAGAAACTGGTGCATCTTGGCCGTGTCCTTCGATGAGTAGTCGGCCATCCGTTTCAGATTCTGCAACTCGCGTTCGAAACGCTTCAGCAGAATTCCATTACCAATGCCAATGTCAGCGCGTAGGTTATCCTGGTTAAGCTTGAGGAGCAAATCACCGTCCACCTGGGACTCGTTGAACTTGTCGATGTAGTCATTGAATCCGATCTGCTTCACCCACTCCTGGACATCCTCCACGGACCACAGGGGAACCTGTTGCGATAGCTTATGTGGCACTGTCTCTCCGAT